TTAATAATATAATAATATCTTCCAAATACGAAATTTTGTAATCTGCCTAGTATTTTATGTCATTACTTTTTGATTATTTCATATTTTTTATCGTTTTATGGGACGAAGAGTCGAGCCCGTTCATTCTAATAAGTAATTCATAAAAAATGTTTTTTGTTTGTTTTGTTTTTGTTTTTATTTATTCTTTGGGGTGGGTGGTGGGGCAAATATTTTTCTTTTGGTATACAAACTACTTTTGAATATCCAACTGTTCTATTTTCAGTGTATGAATTACATTGACATATCACTTCTATCTATCTGTTTCAATTTCAGTTGATGAGAGGATAAACGTAGTTATCGAATAATTACTTCTTAATAATTATATTAAATGGTAAATAAGGTTTTAATTCTTTGAAAAAGAATTAGAAAATATTTTTTTTTATTTGTTTCGTGTTTTGTTAGCTCATCTGTAACAAAGTGACATGGTGAGCTTTTGTGATCACAATTCGTTCGGCGTTATCCGTCTTCGTCCAATTTTTTTTTACTTTTAACGACATTTCCTCATAAACAGCGCAGCCAATTTTATCCAAACTTCATAGGAATGTTCCTTGAGTGTTTACCTTTGAAAATTGTTCAAATAAATGGATTCCATGCAGAACTGTGGTTGCAATGCCAAAGACTCTTCTTTTAAAAAAAATCCAAAGGGCTAGAGTTTAGGTATTTAGCATAAACATCTTCTAGTGAATGTTTGCCAAGTATGTTCATATAAAGCCCTAGGGTCAAAATTGGCCCCCAGAGGGTCATTGATTTTCCTTATATGTATGTTGTGAAGTAAAAACAACAACAACAAAAAACTTCTATTACACTATGGAGGCTTAAGCACAGATATTTGGTATGAAACATTGTCTGGTGGACCTCTACAAACAATTTTCAAATAATAGCCCTTAGGTCAAATTTGGCCCCAGCGGGTCATGGCTTTTCCTTATATAGTTAATACTTCAAAAATCTTGAAAACTGCAAGAGCTATATCTTACGATATCTAACATGAAAAACAGTCAGGTCAACAAAAAATTATTCAAATCTTAGCATTCAAGTCAAAATTGGCCCAACTCCGTGGGATAGTATTTCTTATATGTGACTTTTCAAAGCAAACAGTGGCTTTCCAAAGTAACCATTAACTCCCATAGCGACCATTGACTTTCCATTGCAACCATACATTTCAAAAGCAAAGTGACTTTCCCATTAAATTCCATAGCAACCAGTGACTTTCCATAGCAACAAGTAACATCTCATAGCAACTAGTGACATTCAATAGCAACCAGTGACTTACATAGGAACCATTGACTTTCCATGTCAACCATAAACCTCTTAAGCAACCAGTAACTTTCCATGGCAACCCTAGATTTTCAATGGAAACCACTGATTTCTTAGCGACCAGTGACTTTCATAGCAACTAGAGACTTTCCATAGCAACCAGCGCCTTTCCATGACAATCATTGACTTTCCATAGCAACAAGTGACTTCCATAGCAACTAGAGACTTTTCAAAGCAACCAGCGCCTTTCAATGGCAATCATTCTTTTTCCATAGCAACCAGTGACTCCCTTAGCAGCATTGACTTTTACATAGCAACCATTGACTTTCCATAGCAACTATTGATTTCCATAGCAACCAGTGACTTTCTATAGCAACCACTGACTCTACATAGCAACCAGTGACTCACATACTAACCATTGACTTTCAATTAATAAAGAAAGACCTTAAACTCTTAATGACTCATAGCAACCAGTGACTTTCCAAAGCAACCATTCACTTTCCATAGCAACCAGTGCCTGTCAATGGCTACCATTGACTTTCTATAGCAACCAGTAACCAATATTACAACCATTGACTTCCCATAGCAACTATTGACTTTCCATATCAACTAATTGCTTTCCTTAGCAACTATTGACTTCCATAGCAACCAGTGACTTTTGCATAGCAACCACTAACTTCCATGGCAACCTGTGACTTCCAATAGCAACAACTGATTATAATAGCAACAATTGACTTCCATAGCAACCATTGAATTTTAGTAACAACCAGTTTCTTCCATAGAAACCAGTGACTTTCCATAGCAACCATACTTTCATTGCAAACGGTGACTTTCTACAACAACCATTGACTTCCATAGCAACCATTGACTTTCCATAACATCCATTGACTTTCCATAAGAACCATTCACTTTCAATAGCAACTGCTTGCTTTCCATAACAACCATAGTAATCATTGTCTTGCAATCATATACCATAGACTTCTTTAACACTTAATGACTTGTCAAAGCAACCAGTGACTTTCCATTGCAACCAGTAACTAATACTGCAAGCATAGTAACCAGTGATTTATTTTAGCAACCATTGACTATCATAGCAACCATTGACTTTTTGAAGTAACCATTAAATTTCCATTGCAACCAGTGACTTCCATAGCAGCTATTGACTTTTATGCAGTTCTCTTGTAATTTTGTTGTGATTAATGCTTCCGAGGGATCACTTTGTTTCCAGATTTCCATAGCAACCTTAGACTTCTTTAGCACCAAGTGGCTTTCCATAACATCCCAATAATGTGCCATAGCAACCATATTTTCCCCAACAACCAGTGCCTTTCCATGGTCACCATTGACATTACACAGCAACCAATACAATTTGAATTGCGACAATTGACTTTCCATAGCAACCTTATACTTCTATAGCAACCGGTGACTTTCTACAGCAACCAGTGACTGCCATAAAGCAGTGACTTCAAATAGCAATTAGTGACTTGAATAGCAACGACTGACTTTCCATAGCAACCATTGACTTTCCATAAGAACCATTGAATTTCCATGAGAACCATTGACTTTACATAGCAACTGCTTACTTTCCATAACAACAATAGACTTCTATACAGCAATCAGTTACATCATAGCAGTCTTTGACTTTTCATAGCTAAGTGTTAATTTCCATAGCAACCAGAGACTAACATAGCAAACTTTGACCTTTTTACATAGCAACCAGCGACTTCCATAGCAAACATTTACTTTTCTTAGCAGAGAGTGAATCTGCCATTGAATTTCATAGCATTCAGTAACTTACAAGGAAACCACTGATTTTGTATAGCAACTAGTGACTTCTTTGGTAATTATTGTTTTCCTTTAGCAAAAGCAACCGTGAATGTTTTTACATAATTATGCACTATTTCAGATACAAATATAGCTTTATGATATCAGTTTAAGATTAAGATTTAATATCTGGCTTCGCTTATAGTTTACAATATTACTTGTTCCTGGTCATATGAGTATTTTATTCAGGTGAGCGATATAAGGACCATCATGACCCGTTTGTTTTTATTGGTTTTGCGAGCCATCAACACTTTTAAAGGTCACCCTCTTTACTGTTTGGATATATATCAGGTGCCCCTCCCTGCATTATTTCAGGCAGTAGAACCGCCGACGTTCCGTAAGCAAACTTGATAGCTCCCTCGTATTTGAATCCAAAGTCCTGGGCGGGATTCGAACCCAAAGCGATCAGGGGCAAGTGATTTGAAGTCAACGACCTTAATTACTCTGCCATGGACGAAGCGCCCCCCCCCCCCCCCAAAAAAAAAAAAAAAAAAAAAAAACAAAAAAACAAGAGCACCGCTAGGCTGAGCATTATATGCCCGAAAAATTGTTTTTTTTTAAGTAAAGGTGACGGAAAGACGCCAGGGGTATATCATAATGTAAGCAAATTTTTAGTGCATATAAATAATGTACTTAATATAAGTGATCATCCTATGAAGTTTGACAGTTGTAAAACTGTTAAGAATATGAAGGTCATTTGATATTGACATTTGATCTTGTGACCCCAATATAGATATTGATCTTTTATACAATATAGGCAATCATCCTATGAAGTTTGAACACTGTAAGACAAATGGAACTTGTGTTATGCCCCAGAAACCACAATTGTCAGCGTAAAGGTCATTGTGACTCTTACCTTTGACCTTACTATCCTAAAATCAATAGGGGTCATGTATTGGACATGGTTGTTCATCCTATACAATTTTACAGCTGTAGGTTGATAAATCCTTAAGTTATTGAAGGGAAACCGTTTTCAGTTTTAAGGTTATAGTGACCTTGACCTTAGACGTTGTGACCCTAAAATTAATAAGGGTCTTCTACTCAATTTGGACAACCATCGTATCAAGTTTGCATATTATGGGCCAAATGGAACTTAAGTTATGCCCCGGAAACCAAATTGCTAAAAAGAACCCACAATTTTTAGTGTTAAGGTCAATGTGACCCTGACCTTTGACCTTATGGCCCTAAAATCAATAGGTGCCATGTATTGGACATGGCTGTTCATCCTATAAATTTTACAGCTGTAGGTTAATTAATTCATAAGTTATTGGGCGAAAACCGTTTTCAGTTTTAAGGTCATAATGACCTTGACCTTTGACCTTGTGACCCAAAAATTAATAGGGGTCTTCTACTCAATATTGTGAATCATCCTATGAAGTTTGAACATTGTGGGTCAAATGAAACTTAAGTTATGCTCCAGAAACCACAATTTTCAGTGTTAAGATCATTGTGACCATGACTTTTGACCTTATGACCCTAAATCAATAGGGGTCATGTATTGGACATGGCTGTTCATCCTATAAATTTTACAGCTGTAGGTTAATTAATTCTTAAGTTATTAAGCGGAAACTGTTTTCAGTTTTAAGATAATAATGACCTTGACCTTTGACCTAGTGCTCAAAAAGTCTTCTACTCAATATGGACAATCATCAAATGAAGTTTAAATATTGTGGGCCAAATGGAACTTAAGTTATACTGCAGAAACTAAATTGCTTACGGACAGACAGACAGACGGACGGACGCCAGGGGGTACAACATAATAGCCCGAAATTCTTTCGTCATATAAAAACAACAACAAAAACAATTGTTACAATAGGTCTTTAAATCTAGAAAGAGCAACAACCAAATTTTATCAAGATCGATAGAAAACAATAATATTACATTTTTAAACTTTTATTAAGAGTTTCAATATCTTAAAGTTTTCTTAGAATATCAATGTTAACTTTATAGAACAGAAAATTCATTTATCTGAGTTGAACATTTGCAGTTCATCATTATATAAATAATAATGGCGAGACATTTTGATATTCAATGACCTTTTGTCGTATACGGATTTTTATGTATGGCGCAACGATATATGTATAACTTAAAAATTACAATCACAACAAATAACTAACAAGCTTCTGATAATTTGATGATTTTAAAAATATAGTAAATTTTAACATGCTTGAACGTGTATAATAAAATCTTGGAATATTAAAGTAAACATGAAAGTAACATTAAGAAACGAATTTGCTATTTACAATATTGTCTTCAAGTGAAGTAAGCAATGAAAATTCAAATTTGTATATACACAGACGAAAGATAAACAGCAAACACATAATAATTTCTAATTTATTCAAAATATAAATATTTGAAGATTTTAAAAATCTAGTAAATTTTATTATGCTAATTGCTTGAACGTTTATAATAACTTGGAATAATAATGATAACTATTTGGTATCAATTAAACAATGAAAAGAACACATAAAACACAAATAAGAAATACATGTTTAACAGCAAGCATTTAAATCGACAGTCATATGCATCTATCATGTTTATTACGATTGCATAGCAAGTTAATGTCTATTTTTCATATTTCACACACACACGCACCAAGGCGCACGCAAACACACGCACACACACATACACACAGATGAGCATTTTAATAGCTTTATACATAAAAGCGCGTCTAGCATGTATTATGTTTATTTAAGTGTACGCGATTCATTTTCTAGAACAGTAGGATATCTGAAATGCAAGGTTTTCAAACATATTATAAATTTAAATAAAATGTACTAATAATGTAGTATAAAACGTGCATTTAAACCAATTTAATTTAAGAAATATTTGTAAAGATGGCGTTTTATCAGTTATTATATAATCTTTTCAGCGCGTTTCTGTAATTCAAGGATACTCAGTTTCAAGTACATATGTACCCCATGTAATATTATAGAAATAAAAACATGATAAATTTACAGGCTAGCTTTCTTATCAGCTGATAAAACGAGATATGTTTTAAGAGAGCAATTCGTTTTTTGTTATTTAGTATATTTAAATGATTTATTTGTATGTTCCATTTAAAGTTTTCATTTATAAGTAAATACCTCCCTGACTTGGACATAGAATAGATTAATCGGACACAGTGGCTAGTTCTGTTCCTGAATCAATGACTAACAGTTTGTTTTTTCAATTGGACAAAATCCATTGCCTTATTTAATATTAATAACCCAATGCCCATTTTTCAAAAAGAACATTACATATCACACATATATTTTTTTCACTTTAAAAGAAGGGTAATTTGATAAAGTAGTAAAAACGGTCCACGGTTCTTCCGATAAGGCGGATAAGCATTTTCATGAGTCAGTCTTTTTTCTACTACCTTACATTGCATTAATTAAAGCGTCTATAAGAAGAAACGAAATCCTTGATTTCAATGCAACAGAATATACATGTGCCATTTTACAATATAATAATAAGATCTACAGTTTATGATCCGGGTATAACTTTAAGTGATTCTCCAAACCTTTAGAGACAGAAAATATCGCCTGACATGCACCACATGTAACTGTTTCGTTCACAGTTTCTTCGTTGTAGATAAAGCTTTGTTTTGTTTCCATTTGCGTTGATTCTTCATACGGGTTTGTCATTTTCTTTTTACTCAGTTCAACTATGCATTTATTGTGCTCTAGGTCTTCATTTACAGAATGCGTGTTACATTCATGATTCTGAAGTTCTTTATCCGAACTGAAATCTTGGTTACACTCTATGCACAGATAGTCATTACATTCGTTGCTTGCTTCTCTATCAACCATAATAACTTCGTCGTCCAAAAGGTCATCTTCATCGTCTGTATTGGTTTTATAATTGTTTTCTTCATCAGTCTCCATCTCATGTAAGTCATTGCTCAAACTGTCATCTCTTGCTGTTTTAGATGGTACACCATCTTTTGGTTCTTCATTGTCAGTCATGCTGGTGTCTTGGTGGGTTGACTTTGTAACGTGCGACAACATGTGTACTCGCAATCTATAAGCAGACTTAAATGCCTTATAACACACTTCACACGTGTGTTGTTTCGAGAGTACGTGCGTTCGTTCGTGTCTTTGAAACTGTTCATATGTCTGGAGAGTCATTTCGCAAAAGCAACATGTGTATGATTGTACATGTTCATTACCTTTGTGTATCACCAAATGACTCGTATACATAAAAGGATCTGAGTAGGACATATTACAATATGTGCATTTATACTCCTTAAGTGGTCCATGTGTTAACATATGCTTGTTGTATATCAAAGAATTTGATCCCATAAACGAACAAACCGAACACTGATAGTCCTGCAGTTCTGGGTGTAACTTCTTATGTTGTTGGAACTTAACAATATCAATATAACTTTCACCACATTGCGGACAAACGTGGAAATCTTTAGAGTCGTGTTGTTTTATCATGTGTTTTTTCACACATGCTCTGTTCGAATATCCGGTTTTGCATTGAGCACATCGGAACTTGAATGTGTGTGTTCGTAAATGTTTTTTTAAACCATCGTTATGAGAAAACTTTTTCGGGCATTTTTTGCAGGCGTATGGTTTAATACATGTCTTTAAGAGCACATGTCTCTTCATATTACTTCGCGACGTAAAAGTAGCAAGGCAACCAATGCACGTAGAATGATCATGTTCTGCCAAATTGTGAGCTTCGAATAGTTCAACATTCTCAAAGGTACTGTGGCATATTTTACATGGAATATTCGTTTCAGACGACGTGCTTATTTTCTTATCATCTGAGTTCAAATGGTCCGCAAATGTTCGAGTTTCTGAAGAAATATGTGTAGTAGACTTAGGATCTTGTAGAGGAGTACCTTTCATGTTGTCGTCTGCTTGTTGTATTCCGGGATAACCTGTTCCATTAGTGTCTGCCTCGGCTTCAATCATTATCCCATCCGAAATACTCTTTTGAGTGTTGGCATATGCTATGTTGGGTGTTTTACAACTCTTTTCAAAGCTTGCATGATCGGCAAATGTTACAATTTCTGAACAAATTTGAAAAGTAGACTTTGGTTCTTCATTGTTGTCATATGCTATGTTTGGAATTTTACAAATATTTTCCAAGCTTGCATGATTGGAAAATGTTACAGTATCTGAACAAATCTGAAAAGGAGACTTTGGTTCTTCAGTTGTTCTGTCATCCTTATGTTGTTTTTGCGGAGAACTCCTTCGATCGGTGTCTGGTTCGGGTTTTATCGAAATGTTGTCAGCTTCAATCTTTATCCGATCCGAAATATTCATTTCGGCGTTGTCTTGTGTTGTGGTAGACGTTTTATACCTCTCTTCTAAGCCTGGACGATCAGAAAATGTACGAATAGCTGGGAAAATCTGTGTTGTGGACATTTGCTTTTGCAAAGAAGTACCTACTACGTTGGCTTCTTCCTGTTTTATTTCAGGGTTCGTGTTTCCCTGAGTTTCTGGTTCAGGTTGAATAAAAACATCATCAACTTCAATCTTTATCCGATCCGCAAAATTCTTATTGGCGTTGTCTTGTGTTGTGGTAGACGTTTTTTTATACATCTCTTCTAAGCCTGGACGATCAGTCAATGTATGAGAATCTGAAGAAATCTGCGGAGTAGATTTCGGCTTTTGCTGTGAAGTACCTTTTATGTTGAAATCTTCCTGTTTAATTTCGGGAAAAGTGTTTCCATCAGTGTCTTTATCGGTTTGAATCAAAATCTTCATCTGATCCGAATTATTCGTTTCGGTGTTGTCGTATGTTGTTTTGGACGCTTTACGCCTTTTATGTTCATTTTCTTGTGCAACACATTTATCTGCACACGGAGTTATATCGTGTTGGCCTTTATTTGAAATGTCCTTTGTCGTATCCATTTCATTTTCGTTATCGTTTGGTCTATCAAAGAGTTCATGTATTCTTACGACGTGTTGATATTTGCCGTTCACAGTCAAACATATAATTCCATCAACCTCAAGACGACACGGGTTGTCAACTGCTTCACGACATAATTCCAGAATGGATTGCTTCAGTGCGCAAGCAACCCGATCACTAAGCATCATTTTTGTTTTGCCAGGCATTTTCTGCAAAAAAAGAAGCGATAAATAGAAAACAATAATTTTCTTGTCGTTGGGTATTTTAAAAGATCATAGGAAATTAAGAAGAAAGTATTGCATTTCAATTTTAGAAATAACATATTTTGAAATTGTGGAGCTTGGCACTTACATTGTATAACAAACAGAAAAACTACTTAAATAATATTTAAAAAAAATGTGGAAATTGAAATGTATAATTTGTCAAAAAATGAAATAATAATTTCATTTAGTAGGAACAAGAATATAATGCTATTTTTAAAAGAAGAATGGAAGTGAATTTTCGTCACATTTTTATCTTCAAAATGCCAGAATTAGCTATTTTGACGGACAGGCAATATTCCAATACGATACATTTTAAAACGGTCGTTTTACACATGTGCTAATGTACTTAGATATAAAATATGTGTTCTTATTGCACTAAAATACATTGTAGCTAGGTATCTGATGTCATTTTTTTATACTTTTTTGTTGTGTTTTTTTCTTTTCTATTTTGTACATATTTATCCATAAATTGTTTAGTTAATTTTGTAAGGGATACAAATAATAATAATAATAATTCTAAGGGGATTAAGCCCAATAAAACAATATTGTATCGCGGTGAGTTTTCGTAACACCGCTTATGCTACACTTGTAGCTTAATGTTGAGACAGGGCTATTGTATTCATTTTTATGTCGCAATAGCTCTAATGTCTTTATGACCACATGAATATTCACATCAATGTTCATTCAACAAAATGTCCTTACATCCACGTCAAATATCACAAGAATCATTTTAGATGAAACTGCACAATATTGATTTGAAAGTTACATTGGTTTATATTGTTATCATCAGTTTTACGTAAGTGAATAAAGTCATATCTTCATACCAACATATCAGCTACTAGTAACAGGTCATATTGAAGGTTCCGTGATTACCGCCGTATAAACTGATATTCGTATATTTCTAAATTTCACATTTACATATTTAAATGATAATTTCTGCTTAAGTTAGCACGGAGCTGGTAGCTCTCATTCACTACTGTTGCCCAAAAACACTATTAACCAAACAAAGATGGTGACCAAGTGGTTAAAGTAGTTGATTTCAAACCTCTTGCCCTTCAACTCTGAATACCGCTAGAGACTTTGTATTTTTCTATCCGGCTAGCTTACGGAACGTCGGTGCCTGTTCCTGCCGGAAATTATGCACGGAACGGCACCTGAGGAAGTCCTCAAGCTGTATAGTCGCCATAGGACCCTATGTATTGTTGGGACATAAATCTAAACAAACAAAAGCCGCGCACATCTTCAATTTTGTCGAGTTTGGCATTAATTAGAGCTTATTTATTTGCAATTTTATATTGTTTTGGATTTTTGTTTAGCAACAGCTCAAGGAACATTCCTCGCAAGAATTGGTGATAGTGGTCTGGTGGCTAAGGATATAGATACTGTTTAAAGAAGTGTGAACGGACAGGAGTTTCAACTGGACAGACTAATGGACAGAAAACAGCAAAGACGGCCGCCATGTATAGTATTTCATTTCTACCTATTAAGGAGTTAAAAAAATGTTTTCTATATTATTGAAATATTTTCGCTATATCCATTTGCTATTAGTTTTCACAAAGCTTGATTTCGAATGTAATTTACTGCCGTGTTATTCCAAGAAGGACAATGATCGATTTAAAAAAAATCTTTTTGAACTTTCAACTTTTTAAGGATTCATCACAAGAAGACTATGCAAACAAATAATTGTGTTTGTTAATATGATTAGATGATACAGATTAAGAAGAACCAACAGCAGGAATACTGCCAATAAAGTTATGGTTCAAAATGTATTTTTTTATTAAGTGGAGGGTTACAGGTCAATCCAAAAACGCCTAACAAACACATTTAAGCAAAATAAACATCAGCTTTTTAATAGCTAACCAAGCGATCCCCAGATTAATCATACAAGAACAGTAGAGCTCCCACACTGAGCAGGAATATTCTCCGTGTTAAGGTACAGTTGCGTAGCTGCTGAATGATTCCATAGGTATTTAAAATGAACTTGTTTCCCTTTGACCATTACCGGGGATTATCCCGGATGTGTGTACAAAGAAAGGGAGTAAGCTTTCAAGTGAATCAGAATGCATTTATAACGTCTCAGATTAATGTTGCATGCAAAGCAAGAAATTTCATAGTTCCAAAAGGGTCATAAATCAATGTAAATCCGTGTCTTGGACAGTGACTTTCTAATCTGATGTGGTCTATAATCTATTATGAGTCAAAGTTTGCACTAATTTTTTGCATGATACGTATTTTCTAAAAAACTTAAGTTGATAACCCTAATGTATTGCACATACTAGATTATACTTCAATAATTGAAGCTAAAATAAAATAAATATGATAGTGCAACCTTGGCAAAGGACCGAAAGCGATAAAAAATCTATTTATATACACAATCATATTTATTATGATGAAGTTTAAGATAAACATGTACCTACAAAACGTATACAATGTCATATATGTCGTACTAACATGTTTAAGTTGATAGGTCTACAATGGGCACATTTTCCATGTGTACTTCAAATATTGATAAAAGCAATAGGTATTCTTTCGCTATCGTTCCCGTCGAAGTTTCTAATTTCTGTAGAACAGTACGGATGAACACTTACATATATATACATATAGATCGTAATATATGAATACGCGTATATTCTTTTTATTAAAATTATTTTACTAAATCGACCCTTATATGTCACGAAATGTTCTTTGTGCAGATATGGCCATGTAATATTTTATCAACAACAACTACCGGATGTAACACAATATATCTTTTTATGCATACAAACAAGGTTTGGGTTTTTATACAAATAAATTTGTATGTCATAATAAAGCGACTATTGAGGAAGCCAAATTGCATGAATTACATGCATAAAAAGATATATAAGCCGCGTCACGACAAAACCAACATATTGCGTTTGCGACCAGCATGGATCCAGACCAGCCTGCGCATCCGCGCAGTCTGATCAGGATCCAAGCTGTTCGCTATCAGTTTCTCTACTTGTTATAGTGTTTGTAAGCGAACAGCATGGATCCTGATCAGACTGCGCAAATGCGCAGACTGGTCTGGATCCATGCTGGTCGCAATCCCATTATGTTGGTTTTGTCGTGACACGGCTCATATTGTGTTACAACCGGTAGTCGTTGTGAAATAATATTATTTGCAAAAACCAAAAGACAAGTAAAACTCTAAATGATGTAAGGAACAATACAAGCAAAATAAAAGTTCCGATGTCAGTGTCAGTGTAATACTAACGACCTCGAACACTAGTATCATTTTGTTTTGATATGCAGTGTTTGAAAATCGTCTTATCCAATATAGCAAACTAAAAGTCATAAGTACTTAAAAATTTATGCTAATATCTAAAAAAGTATACATGTAGTACGGAAATATTTTTTTCAAACAAACTCGACTCAGGCTAAAAGCGAAGTTATTGTTTGTTCTCCGCTTAACCTTGGTTTAATGCTTTATTCATATGCAGAAGAAATTTATTAATATGATTGATTAATGGATTATGTATTAATTATCCCATTGCTCTGTACTGAATTGATTTGTTTTTTCTACTACAAATGAAAATTATGTGACCTTAAATAATAATTCAACATGTTAGTTATAACGATGTACCTAGGCTATGTGCGAACAAGTAATGAAATAAAATCTGTTCTGTTAATTTGATATAAATGCTCGACTTTTTTGTAAAAAAATAGAGGTATTGTCATATAGTCATGTCGGCGTTGCCGTTGACGTCCGCAAACTTGTATGTTAATCATAACTTTTTAAGTTCTTGGTGTATTGTCTTCATAACAACCCTTGGGACAATACCTTTTAGTAGACCAGACTAACCTTAACCTTCACCAATAAATGACCTTGACCTCCAAGGTTAAGTGTCTAAATTTTGCTTGTTTTTCGCTGATTTTTTCTGTTACTGGCTATAACTTTGTTATTTTTGAATGGATTGTCTTCAAACTTAAACATGATAATCTTTAAGGATAGCCCTTTAAGCTAACTAGACAAACCTTGACCTTCACTCATATATAACCTTGACCTTGAAGGTCAAATTAATGAAATTTTCATTTTTTTTAAATTGTTGTAACTTTGTTATTATTGAATGGATTGACTTCATATTATAACAGACTATTCTTTAGGATAAGACCTTCATGTGAATCAAACTTAAATTGACATTGGCCTTATTATGATCTTGACCTTATAAATTGACTCAAAATGTCAATATCATGTAAAAGTCAATGTCGTGCTTGAATATTTGACACTTAAGGGTGGTTAATCAAACTAAATAAATTATGGCAATTTAAACAAATTCGTATGACCTTACCTGTAAAGGTTATTTTAAGGTCAAGGTAATCCCTGAACTGCTCAGCATGATATATTTACAGTAAGTGTTGTCAAAGTTACCAAGTATTAATTATGCCCGGGCATTAACAAAAGTTATGGTAAATTTAAGCAAAATTTAATAAATTTACAATCAAGATCAATATTATGGAAAGGTCAAATTAAGGCCCCAAAAATGCGCCAAATATCCATGTGTTGACTAGATCTACATACTGAAAACCTAGACTCTATATCTACTTAAATAATTATTGGCATGTGGCATGGTTAAAAGTAAAATCAGGATATAATGTGCAAGCCCGAGCTTTTTGACGTAAATGCAGCTAAACGCCTTATTGAACTTTCACCATGTACATTTTATGTGTAAACAAGCCAGCACACTCAATATTATAGGGATCTAGATCTACATGTTTCAACATACATGTTCGGAAATTTTTACACATCATTTTTAATCCATGATATAGCCCAGTATGATTTATGAACTATTTACAAATATCTACATGTAGATCTACTTACATGTAGAAGATTTTCGTCGATAGTCTTTCACGTCGGATTTTGTTTACCTTACTTTACCGGAAATAAATAAGATAAAAAAGTGCACGCGCACATTTAATGACGTCATTGTGATACTTTTGTATATTGTGACCTCACTTGACCATATAAGGCCTATAAGTTTAAATGCCTGCAGCAAAACTAAGCAACTTCACGGCACAATAATTTTATTCTACATAATGTGTAGATCTAATTCTACTTAGAGAGAATTTAAAATTGCCATGGCATCATCTTGGCATGACTTAATTTTATAAAATCGTTTCATTGCCAAAATGTTTAACATTTTGACATTGGTTATTTCAAATTGCTGTACAAAGCATAACTTTTTCCTTTCTCTGCTCAAGGTATTTTTGTTGGTTTTTGTTTCAAATTGACTGGACTTTACTGTAGTATATACAATATATATAGTATATTTATTATCTAACAAGATATTAAACGGAAAAGATTTAAATCTACCTTGATAGATTAATCCACTAGTAGAATTCAAAGTTTTAAATTATCGTCGACTGTTAAATTCATCCGCATTTGAAACCGAAACTGGATATTAAAGCAAATAACACCTTAGATAAAGTTGTAAACTTGATATAAACAGAGCAGTTCATATATTTTACCACAGGTACATCATAGTTACATATAAATTTACAAAATTGATACATAATATAGATCTATATTAGATAGCTCTAGATAGTGTTTGAAATTATTTTTTGTCCAATAGGATCGTAGTATTTAAATTATAAACAGTCGACTTACTGGACTGATGAACAGTTTGCCGATTTACCGTAGTAAATGTACGATTCATTTGAAATACTGCAATCCTATTGGACAAAAATGATTTCAAAGACTAATAAACTTAAACATATGATAAACAAGTGTTTATAAGTAGGAAATTTACGATTCGTTTGAAATACTGCGATCCTATTGGACAAAAAAATTCAATACAGTACACTTAATACAATTGTACATGTACGTTATATTTTATATGTTATAGATCTATTTGCTGATTGGGATACGCAAGTTTTCTCTCCTGTAGGATCCAAAGTTAGCGTTAGATAATTCAAACATGGCTTTATTGGGCATATGAGAAAACAACAATATAACAGTTAAAAAATAAAAAAAAATATTATAAAAATTAAAATGAAACCATGGTGAACCGTGATATTTTAAAGATATTAATGCGATAAAAATGAGAAAATATGATGAAAGTAATAGATAATTGACATTACAAATCAATTGTATTGTATTGTATTGTATTGGAATTAGTAACTATGTATTGATTGCCAGATTAAGACAAATAATTTTGTTTTTACTATTTATTTTAACCTTTTCCCTTATATAAGCGTGTTTCGACGGCTTTTTGTCCCCCCCCCCTTTTTGAGGCCTCAAAAAATGTTGTTAAAAAAGTGACCACTTTTTTTGGCGCCGTCCTTCATCCAAATATTACATCAGGGGGTTGCGAGAAGGGGGATGTGCCCCCTTCTGTTTGGGGGGTTTGAAGGGGGGCGGAGTCCCCCTCATCGCCAAGAAAATTTTGGACATGTGACAGGCTAAAAATGGCCTCAGGTCGATCTTAGGGTAACTAGTAACCGACGCTGAAAAGCCTTTTACTCTATCTCAATTCATTGAGAAGTTGCAGTACTTTGAAATCAGTTTTGATGGGAAAAAAACAATGCAAAATAGTGATTTTTGGCAATTTTGAGACGTCCCCCCGTTGCCATGGTAACAGGAAATTTACCACTGAGCATGCTGTTACAGAGGCTATAGTGTAGTCAACATTTGTGCCAAGTTTCATTAGTACTGAAGCATTTTTCATTGTTTCATTGCAGTTTGAACTTGTTACAGGAGGCTTTTCAATGAAAACGGCCATATTCGCAATAATGCTCATGGGGTAAAAGGTTAACTTTGAAAATTTAACAATATTTGGTTTATGAAAATATGAAAATAACAATGTCTAAAATGTCTTTTTCAGGTCATGACAAGAAGGAGAACAGTCGCTGACAAGAAAATTAAACGATTTGAACAGCTAAAAAACAGCTACGTATAGGAGCGACTGTACATAGAGCTTGTTTATGAACGTTTAAAAGTCTTTGGCTTACTTTTCGTATGCATGCACTCGCTTTGTTGATGAACGTTTGAATAAACGCTACTGAAAGGTGGCACAGAGCTGACATGCTCACCTTTTACTTTTTCAATTGCACTGCGGTTGTAAAAAAAATAAATTTGAAAAAAAAGAGAAGCGCAATAAAAAAAGAAACAGTGCATGTTGATGGAACGTCTTACTAAGTCGTGGAAACAAGTTAGCTATGTTGTTGAGACGACTTATAAATACGTATCTCGTTCCCACGACATAACCATCTTGTTCCCACGACATAACTAATTCACACGACATAACTTACTCTTTCCCACTACATAACTTACTATTTCCAAAGACATAACTAGCTCCCACGACATAACTAAATCACACGACATAACTTACTCTTTCCCACGACATAACTTACTCCCACGACATAACTAACTCTTTCCCACGAGTTAAACAGCCAATCAATTTTGAGACAAAAATAGTTAATTCTCTGTACCTCAGACCATATAATAGTACTCCAATCATTGACGTCAATTACATTTTACTTAGGATTGATTTAGAATATTTTATGGTAATTAAGTTATAATATGTTTAAAACCCGAATTCAATTTTCTGTTATTTAGACATTTACTGAATTCACCAACTGAGTTTTTCCAACTCTGAATAAACAATTTTTTTTCTTTAACTGAGGCACAGAATTGCTGTTTGGTGAATTCACGAACTTGATAAAAGAAGAGAATTTAAAGAAACGTGTTCAAAAATTGACAATCAAAACTAAACATTCATTTCTTTGAGAAATATAATGTCATATCATATATATTTTTATTTATTGAAAGCCCCAATAGGCCAGAACTATTGATTTAGTTTGCAATGACATAGACAAAATACCTAGCTCGCAACATATCATACAAGATGGAGTTGATTGCTAAAGTTCCAAAACCATTTTAATTTATTTCATTTGGAAACTAACTATCAATAATCTCTACAGTTTCTACTCCCAACACCTCTGATCCATGAGTCACTATGGGATTATATAAACTCAATTGTAGATCAGTCTGTAAGTAATTGACTTCGACAATACAATTTTTTTCTGGCTTGATCAATTTACCTTGTAGCAGATATTTTCGTTACCTGGGGTCTTTGTTGTTGAGCTGTGTGCGAGTAATGTTTTTTATGTAAATTAGTTTAGTTTGCATGGTTTACACTGTCATGATTGAGAATTTATTTATAGGGGACAAAATTAATACTTATGAAAACAAAACATAATTTGATTATGGAAAAGGATTTATTTAGAAGTTAATAACATTTTCTTTATTTATAGTATTGTACTTAGTAAATGAATGTTACAAATTCATTTTGGATTTATAAAGATATTGGGTAGAGAGATATATTCAATAAGGTGTACATGTATTAATAAGGGAAGTAAATCTGCACAGCATATAAATTACAATAATATATGTGCTCTTGCTTGTTATTCTTTTAAGAATGACTAGTTCACCTACATTGTATATTTTATATGAATGTACATTTATAGATGAGATGATTTTTTAGAATAAATCTAAATGCTTGTATTTCAGATAAATAATAAATAAATATAAAATATGTGAATAAGCTTAGCATATAAATTAATAAAGCGTTCGTTTTACAACCCTGATAATGATGCTGTTTAAAGCCAAACGGGTGGTTTGTTTTCCGGGGGAGGGGGGTAAAGGTACAAACAACGAAAATATAACAAATGATTTTAGGTGCCTTGCCCATTGCTCAATTTGTCCTTTCCTTGGCAAAACTAAACGCCGAGAGCACAACACCCTAAATATTTTGCCAATTAAATGTACTTTCTGCGTTTTCCTGCGTGCGTGGTATTAAGTCGAAAACAGGCATGTATCTGCTTCAAAATCTAAACTATTGATGAAAATGTTGTTTTTTGCCAATGTGTCGTTAACCCATCACATTTTGATTATGTCAAATGTGTTATTATTATTCTTCAAATATATAACTGTTTATAGTTGTTTGTTTTATAATATAATGTAGATTGGGATAATTGTTACCTACAGGCCACGTTCTGAAGATACTGAAGATTGAGATAGTAGTGACCATGTACTGATGTTCGAGACAAAAGCGATCATGTAGTGAAGGTCGAGACAGAAGTCACCATGTACTGAAGATCGAAATAATAGTGATAATGTCATCTTCAGTACATGGTCACTACTGTCTCAATCTGCAGAACATGGTAACTTTTATCTTAATCTTAAGTACATGGTAACTACTGTCTCGATCTTCAGTACATGATCACTATTATCTTGACCTTAAATACATTGTATATACTACTACCAGTAAAAACCTAAGATACGATGTGATCTGTTATTTAAATCTACTTCTGCTTCAATAATGAGACGTCAAACTAGCTAACAATATTCACCCTTCATCTGGTTTCTTTATTTCATAAAATGATTTTGTTCTTATCTCAGCACAAGACTGATCTATTTCATAAAACAGATATTCTTATACTAGAATAAAGTTTGTGTTTGTATATGAACAGATAATGACACATCAGTCGTGACTAGATCTTTTTCAGACATACAGAACATGTACACCGCCCCCCTCCTCATTTTTCTTCAGGACACCAGCAAAAGGGTTATGATACCTCAATTTCTCAAAATGAATACATTGTAATCATAGAGATAAGATAATAAGACAAAGGCATATATATAGTATTATATTCCTGATATATATTTGGCATCGACTAGCATTGTTGTTTTTCAGTCACTTTTCATTGCGTTAAAGCGTTTATAAAAAGAAGTAAAACGTTTGATTTTTTTTTCAAACAAAGGACACCTTTTTACAAATAATAATACAAATTATAATTTATGATCTGGATATAGCTTGAGGTGCTTCTCTAAATCTTTAGGGAGAGAAAACGACGTCTGACATGCACCACATGTGAACGGTTTAATATCTGCATGTTTCGTTGTCCTGTGGTACTTCAGGTCATCTCCACGAAGAAATGTTGCGAGACACAATTCACATTTATATGGTTTTTCTCCAGTATGATAACGAATGTGGCGCTCCCTGTTTGGTCGTGATGTAAACACCTTGCCACAATATGAACAAATAAAACGGCGATGAATTTTGACACCATGTTCATGAAATTCATCAAAACTTTGAAACGTTTCCTCACAAATTTCGCATGTAAAAGGAGCCTTTGTTTTGAATAAAACATCCGGTGTAACGACTCTTTCGAACCCTGGATTGCGAACTTTTAGATTCAACGTCGTTGATGTTGATCGGGTAGATGCAGGAGAGGGCTTCTTGTACGAACTATTTTGTTCAGAAATATCTGTATCTGTTCGCGGAGCGTTTTCATTAACCGAAACTTTATTGTCATCTTTCCGCGATTCTTTTGCAATGCTAAATGCTCCGCCATTATTACGACTTAATAGTGAGCTGTAAGATGTTCGTTGAATCTTCATTTTTGTACCACTCAATGATACAAACATTTGTTTTGGTACATGTCTAGGAAATCTATTGACAGAAACTGAAGGTTTCAACCAACTATGCTGATTTTCAACGTTATAATCTTCATGCAATGGTGGCTTTGTGTCTTGTTCTGTCTTATCCCTGGGTTTAAATGTGTTAAGTTCTATCGACTTTATACCAAATCTTGATTGAATGTCTTTGACCTGTCTCATTGCATCTGTAACGGTATTCAATTCCTGCTCCGTATTTTTCTCAGTGGTGTTTTGAAGCTCACTTCCTTTAACATTGTCTCTTGTTCTGTCATTGTAGTAATCAGAATTATCTGCAACCGTTTCTTCATTGTATACGTGATGATGTTCAGATTCAATTTGTGTTGAATCTTCATACGGGTTTGTTTTCTTTGTTATGTGCTGGTTATTTGTGCACTCATCATTTTCGTGGTCATCACTGACAACGTCGCCCTTCGTTTCATGAATGTTACTGATGTGATTCTGAAGTTCGCTTTCTGTTCCGAAACCATGGCTACACTCAGCGCACCAATAATCACTACATCCGTTGCTTGTTTCTTTATCAGCTTCGTTGTGCTTAAGATCATGTTCATCCGTTGTATTGATTTTGTTATTGTTTTCTTCATCGGTTTCCATCGGACGTAACTCGCTGTTGAAACTTTCATCTCTAACCGTTGTTGTCAATGGCATTCCGCCCTCTTTTGGAAAACAGTATTTGTCTAAATCATCATAACCAGAAAGTAGACTTCTGGTACCTTGATAAGTCGACTTTGGCAAATGTGTCAGCATGTGTTCTCGCAAATTAGAAGGATATCTAAACACCTTATGACAAATTTCACAGACATGCTGTTTCGAATGCACATGCGTATGTTCGTGTCTTTGAAACTGTTCATATGTCTGGAGAGTCATGTCGCAAAAGCAACATGTATATGATTGTACATGTTCATCACCTTTGTGTCTCTTCAAATGACTCGTATACATAAATGGATCGGAGTAGGACATATTACAATATGTGCATTTATACTCCTTAAGTGGTCCATGTGTTAACATATGCTTGTTGTACATCAAAGAATTTGATCCCGTAAACGAACAAACCGAACACTGATAGTCCTGCAGCTCTGGATGTAACTTCTTATGTTGTTGGAACTTTACAATATCAATATAACTTTCACCGCATTGTGAACATACGTGGTAAACTTTAGTGTTATGTTCCTTCATCATGTGAGTTTTCACGCATGCTCTGTCCGAATATCCGGTTTTGCAATGAGCGCAGCGAAAGGGTCTTTGGAACGTATGTTTCAATAAATGTCTTTTGAAGTCATCGTTGCGCGAGAAACTCTCAGGACATTTGTGGCATGAGTAGGGTTTGATGCCAGTATGTAAGCGAATATGTCTCTTCATATTGTTTCGTGACGTAAACGTAGCTAGGCAAACAAGGCACGTGAAATGATTGTGTGATGTCATGTTATGAACTTGGAATAATTCAACATTCTCAAGAGTACTGTTGCATTTCTTACACAAAATATTTGTTGCAGACGACATAGATAATTTCTTATCATCTAAACTTGAATAATCAACATATGTAAGAGTATCTGAACAAATTTGTGTGGTAGACTTCGGCTCGTTCATAGAGGTTTCTTTCATACTGTCATCTTCCTGTTTCATTTCGGAATATCTGTCTGGATCGGGTTTGATCAAGAGGTTGTCAGCGTCGATCTTAATCCCAGACGAAATATTTTCTATGTTGTTATAACTGGTGTTTAAAGTTTTTCTACTTTCATATTCACCTAATTCGGCTGGATGCGTGGTTTTATTGAAAAGGTTCTCGTTTGACATGCTTCGGGTTGGTAAATTTTCAGTTTCGGAATCATTCGGTCTATCAAAGAATTCATGTATTTTAACAACGTGCTGATCTTGGCCGTCAACGGTCAGACAAATAATTCCGTCAACCTCCAGACGACATGAGTAGTGGACAGCCTCCCGACATAATGTAAGTATGGATTGTTTCAGCAAGCGAGTAACGAGGTCTCTGTCTCTAAGTACCATTGTTTCGCAAGACAATTTCTGTAAAAGAAAATGATAAAAACATAACTACAATATTCCTGTATTTAATTACGTAACGCGTTTCCGTCTGTAAAGAAAAGTTGGGTAAAATATTTTCAGAAAGAAAAAAAACTGATCTATGAAAGATGTAATGAAATTTTAGAAATTCATAGAGTTACTGCGCTTTATACCAAATCAGAATGTCGGGAAATTTAAATGTTTTCTGTCTGGGGTAGAAAATTGATCATTGAAATAATTTTAATTTTAAAACATCGCCTTCATAAAAAGATTGATTAAATTTTAATGACGTGAAAATAAGTTTATTTTATGTTAATATCATCGATGCAAAGAAAATTATTCAAACTTTTTTTGCTGAAAACCTATTTTAATGAAAGGGAGTTTATAGCGGGAAAATAAATATGCGGTTAATGTGAAGTTCCCTTCAGGAGCCTGTATAATATAGTAGACCAGACGGGAAAAGTCATGCATTACCACGCGCTGTGCAAATAATTTCCTTGGCTGTAATTTAACACCAGTATTTTAACGCACTTGGAAATTATGTTATATACACTCTATCATAAACAGTATTATTTATGATAGTTTATAAACGAGATAAATGTTGACAGCAGACGTGCATTTGTCTGACTGTATAACTTATATTTTCCTGTTGTGTCTTTTCTAAGATATTTAAACACGTTTTAAACATGTTATTTATTTTCGTTGCAAATGACAAAGTTTGGAAAGGGGGTTTTTCACCCCTTTTTCTTTTCCCCAAGGGGTTTTTCGTTTTTTAAAGGGGTTTAAAGGGGGAAGGTTAAAAGGCCCGAAAAAAAAAAAAGGGGGCCCAAAAAAAAAAAATTTAAATACTTTAATTTTTAGGATCTCACATGATTTTGCCATACATATAATAATAAACATGCAGGTTATATAACTATTTTAGCATATTCACCATAGCAGAATCAAGAACTCGCGTGCTAAAAAAGTGCCGCGCATTTATTGTAATTAATTTGAATTTCAAGAAAACTTCTGATGATATCAAGGAAACTGATGACTTATTTACCATCCTATCATTGAATTATATAATTGTATAATATTGCATAATCTGTACAAATGAAGAATAGACTTAAATTCGTGAAAAGAACATGTGATTTCATTATTTTTACAGAAAGCTGTTGATTAAAGATGGATATACTGATTTAACATTGAAGTACACACATGAATTCACCTTGTATTTTAGCATTTATAAAGAAATTTATATAATACACACACAACAATTGTACTTAATAAGAATACAATGAAATAGAAAAAGTTTCGACAGTGACGTTGGAGACGCACGCGGCGTTGGATATGACGTAATTTTATGAACAATAATCATGAGAACGTCAGTTATTTAACGTTAAAGTTCATATCTATACAGAAATGGGTCGTTCGGTACAATGACAAGAGATAAATTGATAATTGTTGACATGACCTAGTAAAATCTTAATTTATCATAAACTTTATAACTTTATAGAGTTTTGGTTGTTGTTGTTCTTGTTTTCAATATATATCTATAAACTTCAAACATAATAAACATATAGAATAACGATGTCATATTTACCAGTATGGTGATACAGGATAAAATAAATACATTTGATAGGTAATAACTCTATAAACCACGTCGGGAAATTATATACATGAAATTTTTAACTTATCCATAAATATGGAACAGGAAAATTTCTTAAAAGCTATATACATTTCACAAACAGAATATTAGAAGTAAAATACAACTTACTTTTGTTTAGTAATTCACCGAGATAAATCTGCTATGTATTTCAACATGTTTCCCACGGTAAAAACTTATCCAAAGTTTAAACATGAAACATTTCCGTAATTGTTGAGCCTTTCCGTGCGGAACGGAAAAATGCCTGGGGAACAGAAGGGGAAATTTGTTTGATTTATTTCCGGGACGCAAGTTAAAGCAGACGACAAATTTAAAATGAAGATGTATTGTCTCCGCTGATTTTATATACATATAAATAAAGTGTGTCATTTATTTATAAGAAATGTGATATAAAACTGATTTGTTTGTGCACATTCATTATGTTACATGAAGTTACTAGGAGTTTAAAGTCGTTTGTGATAAAAAACATAAACAACAACAACAACAACAACAAAAAAACAACAAAAAAACAACACTAAGTCACATGTATTATTATAGATGTTGAAATATAAATTTTTTTCAAAACGGCTTATATTAAGTTTTTTTGATATATATGATCAGTACATGTGCTGAGATTGACAAATATGCATTTTATTTGGATTTTAAAAGCGTTTTGAGCTCCAAACCCCAAGTGTCTGTGCACTAAGTGGCACTCTGTCGCTAACCGTTTCCAAAAATTACGAACCATCTAACATGTATGGGGTATTTCAGGTTGTAAATAATACAATAAAACACATATCTAAACTAAAAAAATACTACTACAAAGTTTTGATAATGTTTACAAGAATGATCTGTTTAAACTGTTAAAAGCTTTAGTTACATAGTTTTACATTAAAACTAGTGATCATAAGCATGCTACTTGTAATTAAAACAACAACAACAACAACAACACCACCACCAACAACAACAACAACAAGAGCGATCAGTGATCACATGTGTCGCCTCATGATAGCCAATTGCATGATGCAGCTACTATGTTGGAGACACAAAAATCATTAACAGGGCAAAACAAGTTTGTTTTTTTCGAGGGCAATAACTCAGCCTAAAATCATTCAACCAGAAAACTTTTGTATTATGCATGCACAAGTACTTGAGCTACCGATCAATCTTGTAAAGTTTCATTGACATTGTGTAAGAGGTATAAGAGGAGTAGTCCGGACAAATTTTAAAAATAAAAATCATTAAAAGAAAATAACTTTGACAAAGTCATTGAACCGAAAAATGCCGACGATTTGCACATTATCTTTCCTGTAAAGTTTGGATGAAATTGAACCAGTAGTTTTTGAGGACCACTTTAGAAAAGTTTCTGTGTAGCTGGCAACACAAACCCACCTTTTTATAGAGGGCCATAACTTGGCCAAAAAATCATTCAACCGAAAAAGCCCGCGTACTATGAGCAAGTACCTGAGCTACCGATCAATCCTGTAAAGTGGCAATGAAATTGCATAAGTGGTTTAAGAGTAGTCCGCCCGGGACAAACTTTATTAATACCTTTTCAATTAAAGAGCCATAATTCGGTCAAAAATCAGTCAACTCAAAAAAACCGTGTAATATTTGCAAGTTCTTGAGCTAGTGATCAATCCAGTAAAGTTTCATTTGGGTATAAAGGGAGTAGTCCGTAAATAATAATCATCAAAAGTCCATAACACTGACAAAAATCATCGAACCGGAAAATGCCGAAAATATGCACAAATAGATTGGCACTGATCATTCCTGTAAAGTTTATAGTTTCCTGTAGAGGTAATACCAAAATGGCCTTTTTCATGATCCAACGAACGCTCCTTGATGTAACTCTTAAAGCCTTTAATAATGATTCTGTCAAATATACAGATATTATAGTCTGGGCGGACTTATAGTAACTGTGACGTCAGATTAAATTGGTGTCACCCACCTACTTACAAGTACGGTTTTAAGGTACTATTGTCTTTCTCATGTGGTTTGTTTCTTGCAAAGACTACTTGTCTCTGTCTACAACAAGCAAATTCGTTGAATTTATATCCCCGACGTGTCTGGTTATTACAAACACAACAACTGAAAACATAAGGCTTTATTTAAATATTTATCATGGCATAAACAGTAATATTCTTTGTGCATAATAAATTTTATATTCTAGGCAATAACAGAGCCTTAACTCGGATGTTTAAATAGTAATATCTGGACATGGCAATGAGATGTAACTTGCCTTTTTGTATCCATGGTTCCCATAACGTTTTGTTGAAATCAATACAGCAGTTGCAAAGAAATAGCAATATTGCTCTATATGCATACTACTTAACTAATCAAGGGCCTTAACTCTGTAATGAATGGTCTGGTCTGAACAAGGCAACACATTATGCACATCTCATCTTGGTATTAATGGTTTCCATAAAGTTTAATTGGATTCCAGCCAGTAGTTGCAGAGAAGTAGCGTGGAAACAATAATTGCTGTATATGCATACTGCATAACTTATCAAGGGCCATAACTCTGAGTTAGTGTCTGACCGGAACAAGGCGATGATATCTCCTCTTGGTATTGAAGGTTCCATAAAATTTGCCCTATATGCAAACTGCATAACTAATTAAATGTTAAAGTGTCCGACCAGAACAAGGCGACGATATGCGCATCTCCTCTTGGTATTGAAAGTTCCCATAAAGTTGAATCCCAGCCAGTAGTTGCAGAGAAGAAGCGCGGAAATGATTATTTCTCTATATGCATACTGCATTACTAATCAAGGGCCATAACTCGGAGTTAAAATGTCTGACCGGAACAAGCCGACGAAATGCGCATCTCCTCTTGATATTGATGATACCCATAGAGTTTCGTTGAATTCCAGGCAGTAGTTACTGAGTAGCACAAAACGATTATTGCACTACATGCATACTGCATAACTAATCAAGGACCATAAATCTGAGTTAAAGTGTCTGACCGGAGCAAGGCGCATCTCCTCTTGGTATTGAAAGTTCCCATAAAGTTTCGTTGAATTCCAGCCAGTTGTTGCAGAGAAATAGCAATGAAACGATTTTTGTTCTATATGCATAATACATATCTAATCAAGGGCCATAACTCTGAATTAAAGTGTCTGACCGGAACAAGCCGACGATATGCGCATCTCCTCTTGATATTGATGATTCCCATAGTTTCATTGAATTCAGTAGTTGCAGAGAGCTATCGCGGAAACGAAATTCGGACGGACGGAACAATGTCCCCTCTCGATTCCATCGGCGGGGGATAAAAAAAAGCTTACAAGCTAACGCCCAAGGTCAGTGGTTTAATGTAGATGTCCATTCGTGAATAACACACTAATGTGTGTGTGTGGGGGGGGGGGGAGTTGGAGCATAAAATAACAACAAAACAAGATTTCACCAGACATGTTTTACTTCAAAAATATATACCATATACATAAAAGTAAGGCATTTGTGAGAGAAATATGTGTATATAGTTAGTTGTATTATATATTGCCTACAGAATCTACAGTTATTGTTACATTACTATCGTGTTAAAAACATGGTATCTAAAATTTAATACTGTGCAATTATGTGACTATTTACAATGTATAACATTTAAACATTATGTCATGTGACCTAAGTATTCAAGTATTTTTTATCATATATGTATAAACCAGGTTAAAAAGTTGTATAAAACTACTTGTATGACAGCAATTATTTATGCAAAATTATAATTGGGTTTTCAGGGTAATTTTCCGCAACAAAAATCCATGTTGTACAATATCCATATTGAAGAATGTACTTATTACATTTTTTTTAACCTTGGCCTTATTGCATTTCTCTATCAGCAATTTCATGTATAACAATACATACAACAATTGTTCTAAAATCTTTTAAAGGACTATAATATATAAATTATGACAGAAATGATCAGTACATGTTCATCTATGCAATCATCATATCTCAACCTGTTTTTGTATCATGGTCAAATTATTTCAAAAGTTTTCATTGACAGGTATATTAGGTCTGAAAAACATTATCACCTAGTTTATATTGCTTCTATCTTAAATCACCTAGGTTACCAAAGTTTAGCATGGTTGGTAAAATCGTGTGATACCTGCCAAGTAAATTACAGATACAGCACAATTTGTGAGAGGAGGTCTTTAACATAGCAGAAATGTTTGTAAATATACAAAAATTTTAATAATCATAATTAGATGAAATAGTTGTCAATATTTATAACAAACTTCATACAAGAGTAACATATATTGTAAACAATATTACATTGTAATTTCATTCTTTTTCAGCATATCCATATCAAAATCGGTGGAAACTTTACTACTCAGATGCTCATGTTCATTTAAATACAGGTAATGTTTCATGTAAACTGTTAAACACACAATTACTTATGAGCCTCGCCATGACAAAACCAACATAATGGATTTGCTTAAAAACCCTATAACAATTAGAGAAACTGATAGCCAACAGCATGGATCCTGATCAGACTGCGCGGATGCGCAGGCTGGTCTGGATCCATGCTGGTCGCAAACCCATTATGTTGTTTTTGTCATGGCGCGGCTCTTATTTTTTATTATTTTAATAACAAGAGGGCCATGATGGCCCTGAGGTCGCTCACCTGTATATAGCCCCCCCCCCCCCGGCCCAATTTTTACCCAAGGGCTTTTATTTGTTTATTTGAACAGACTTGGTAGACACCCATAAGAAGATGTTTCATGCAAAACATCTAAGTTCTAGCTCATTGGGTTTTTTAAAAGAAGATTTTTTAAGTTTTTACTATACACATAGAGTAAAAAACAATGACACCCCTCGGGCAGGGCCAGTTTTGACCCCTGGGCTTTTATTTGAACAAACTTTGTAGATATTTACTTAAAGATGTTTCATGCTTAATATCTAAACTCTAGTTATTTGGGTTTTTTCAAAGAAGATTTTTAAGTTTTTGCTATGTATATAAGGAAAATCAATGACCCCCGGGGCGGGCCAGTTTTGACCCCAGGGCTTTTATTTGAAACATACTTGGTTAGACACCCATTAGAACATGTCTCATGCTAAATATCTTAGCTCTAGCTCTTTGGGTTCTTTAAAAGAAGATTTTATAAGTTTTTACTATATGCATATAAGGAAAAATCAATGACCCCTGGGAGGGGCCAATTTGGACCCCAGGGGTTTATTTGAACAAACTTTGTAGACATTCACTAGAAGATGTTTCATGCCAAATATATAAGCTTTAGCTCTTACAGTTCTTTAAAAGAAGATTTTTTAAGTTTTTTACTATATCCATATAGGGAAAATC